ATATTCGTTAAGTAAGTTGTGTTTTTGATAGCAATACAACTAACCTACTACCATTTTGATAAGCTATAACCATTTCCGATAAGAATGCAACTAAATTAACGAACATCACGTATATAATTATTGCAGGGTGGTCATCTTAATTCCCTTTTAATACATGCCATGCCTTACATTGCACAAGCTCTGTACCATCTTAAAACGTTGATCTCTCATTGTTCATACCCTGCTTTACTTCGGCGCCAGAAGGTTTTGTGGCCAAACTCACCGTTGGGGAAGGGCAAATTGGACATTGAGGGGGGCGGGGAGAAGGGAGGGGAGCGGGGGGGGGGGGGGGAGTTGCCCACCCAAAGGAATACAAATAGACACCTATAGGGCAGGAATCTGTCTCCACTGTTTCGATGACAAGATACGGCGAGGTACAAACTAGTCATAATTTTGAATTTGAAGCAATGGCCCATAGTGCGCCAAGTTTTCTATATGCATTCGCCAGCTGTTTTCCAAGAGATAAGTTTTCTGTTTGATTTAGGCAAAGCAAACGGAAGCCTCCAATACCACCTAGGAAAAATAATAAGGCAAAAACAAACAAAAACCGAGGTTTCTCCTGTAAAAAAGCAGAACACAGGAGCAAAGCTTTCTTTGAGATATTCTTTTCCGAGCTCTGCTTCCGCCCGCCGCCAGCGGACTCCTCCCTGGATCGGCTGCCCGTCGGTGACGGCCGCCACCCGCATGACTGACGGAACTGACTGTATGACTGCTCTTCTGCATGGTCATTGATCAGAATCACTACTTATTGGTATGTGAGGCAAAAGGGACGCTTGCTACAGTACCTGTTTATGAATCGTCTTCCCTTACACCACACCACAACGGAAAATATACTTTCGGGGAACTGCCTGCCTTATGGATAAATTGGTCCCCTCGGGCACTCATTTACTCTCCCACAACATAGTCGACTTGATTCACCTTTGTATGTAGGCTGAGGGTACACACGCTTCTCTTGAATAAGTGGCGCAACCATATCTGCCTTACGCGTTTAGCGTAACCCGGTATTTTAAAATAGTTGGTGATTCACGTATAGCAGGCTTTTCATGCACAGTCCGTCAAATTGTCATTAGTACTACGCTGTCTAACTGGGAATTCAGTCGTTATTTTAAATGCCTCCCAGGATGCGTGCACCTTCTGTAATCTGCATTCATATACGATTTGCCTGACGAATTTTGTCCCGATAGCTCAGGAGGTTACAATGTCTGCCTTCCGATCCATCGTCTATGACGGGCTGGGTTCAAGCCGTTTTAGGCGTTCGCTTTTTGACCTTGACAGACATGGCACACCGCTGGTGGCAGCGGCCGCACCAAGGGTCAGGTGACGTCAGAGGGCACCGTGTTTAGCATTGCACCGTTATAAACTTTTGCCACCAACTTCTGCCGTCCACCTGGAATTGCACAATCAGATGGTGGGATTCAGGGCTCACACAAGAACTGATTAACGTATGCTCTGATGCCAGAAGGACATACATTAAAAAATCAGATGAAACGTTGGATAGCCATGAAATTTTATTATTATCATCATCGTAACATTTTTTAGGAATTTCATGAAGCGACCTGCAGAAGGGCTGGCTAAACAATAATAACGCTTTGGACTGCCATTTGATGCTTGCCGTTCAATTAAATGATTACTGCCGTTCACTGAGCTTTCACTTCAAAGAACATCATTAATTGCAGTAATCCACCAACCGCCGACCATGTAGATCTCAGACATTGTGAGATTACGATTCAGTAGTTGATCATTGGGGCACACATCACTCCGAATATCTACATTGACGCCAGTTTCCGGAGTCGTGTCCAAGTGATTCAGACAAACAATTCCAGCATGTGGGAAGCACTTGGTGTTGGGTTACTGAGGTGGCCGATTGCTTGACCTGGTAGGTGCCCATTGGCGGGAGGCACGGCTGTTCGAGGTGACCGCGTCATTGCCTATGATTGCGCATAAAATGTTACACTGTATGGTTGCAGGCAAAATTGTCTGACGAAAAGCGCATAGTAGAGGTGTTTAACAACTATCCTGATTTGAGCCTTTTAAAAGGACGAGCTTCTGGGAACGGAGCTCACGCTAAGCAGTGCTTGTTGTGTGAGCCCTGACCTCTACCATCCGATCGCGCTAATCCAGGTCCGTCGCAGAATTCGGTGGCAAAATGTTGGCTTGCCGCGACGCTCGGCACGGTCCGTTCTTGCCCTTTGACATCTCCTAACCTTTAGGGCGACCGCTGCCACCGGCGACAGGCCATGTCTGTTAGTAGCCAAATAGCAAGCGCCTGAAATGATTCGAAACCATCCCGCCACAAGTGGGTGGATCGGAGAGCATGTGCTCTAACCAACTGAACTGTTGGAACGGACGTTTGTTGGCAAGCAATTTTCACCATTTGCCACAATCTGCTTGTTATCACAGGACGCCGCACCGTGTCATCTATATTAGCGCATCACACACGCTGTTTAGCACGTCTGTGACATATTAATCTTTAACTCCATGAATCTACGCTGAGTGGACTGTAAGGAGGCATGCATAGGAGCCAAGGTTAGGTAAAACGACAGAATGGAGCCTCCGGTACTAGAGAAGCTTAGAAGTTGCCCATAAATATTTCCGTTTGCCGTACATGGTAAGATGAGATGCTGCCATTTATCGCATGAATCAATTGCGTCCAGTGCGGTTTGAGAAAGATGGCTGGTGAACTAGGTAAATCGGCATGCATATTTAAGGCAGTATAAAAACACGTTAAGTACTACTTAGATCTAAAAAAGTGTATTTGTATGTGTGCGAGTGGGGGGGGGGGGGGGGGGGAGGGGCAGTTAACGTTGCTGGTCCCCACCTTGAAAAGGGGGAGGGGTGTGGTCCCCCTATTCCTACGCCATGACCTGGGTGTGACCCATGCCACCCCATACTCATCCCCGCATCACTGTCGTGCTTCGGCGAAAGACGCCCTTTACGCGGAGATGAACTTTATATGTCAACAACAGGTGCCGCTTCACGGGGGAGGGGGCGCCCACACGACAGGCGTCACAGCGCCATAACCGATAAAGGCTCGGCGCCGTCTGCGCCGCTGTGTCGGCGCCGCCTCATCCACCAACGTAAGGTAAGCGTGGCCGAAGCCAGCCGGGTCCGAAGTGAAATGCCAGCCCAGTTCCATGTAGTCGCGGCTGACTGGGGTGCTGGACGCCTCAAATCAGCTGGCCTTCCGGCTAGGCTTGTAAAAGTGTAAAATGCTAACTCACTGCTGGCAGAGTTTGTGTTTGGCTCAATACTTGTTTTTGGAGGCAGAAATGTGGATGTATGTTTTCATGAATGTGAGTTGTCGGGCAGTTTGAGAATGTAAAACTTGCTACCAAAACTCCCTTGATAGCTCACAGACTTCCAGCCTGGCTGTTTCTTCACCGATCGTAGCGCCCCCTACAACTGACCCAACACCTGACAGTACCCTCCCAGCTGTGCTGGCACTGACATTGTAGCTGGGAATATTGGATAATGGTGTCCATTATTACACCTGGGTATACTGAAAAAGAGAAAATATAGACGTCTGTTAAACGCCATTGAATTTCCTGTAAGTTCCGATTCTTCTCTTTCATCATAAGAAGTTGATTTTTTTAGCAAATCATTATACAAATATAACGTTGCAGGAATATTACTCGTAACGTGCCTTGGTTACAAAAAGAAGGCTTTTCCACCCAAAAGAACACCGTTCACTTCATATTGGCATCCGTGAATTTACATGATACATTTACAAAATTTTCTACTGACATGCAACGATAAAAAACAGAGCTGCGTCGCCTTCATACACCTCATTTGCATAAGCAGGCAAGGCATATGCCCTTTACCTGCAGCTGTCCCCTGGCCGGCCACAATAGTTAAATCGCCGGCAGCGAAAGGTCAATTGCAAATCGTGGCAGCTGACGTAGTGCACTATATACCGGAGCCTCACAAAGTGTGACATACTTAGGCTCATCTGAGGTATGCCAGAACGGAAAAATAGGCTGCTGCCGCGACCATCAGTGACGGAATTAGAGGGCGAGCTGGCGGGCGGCGGCACGCCCCCCCCCCCTTTGGGGCTCTAGCCGGTGTTGGGTAGGCATGGCTGACTGGACGGTCGCAGTTTTTAGCACAAAACGCAAAAACTGGACGTCTTTGGGTCTGCTGGCGACTAGAAATGACCACAAGCGAAAAGAAGGGACCTTTAAGTAGACAAAAATAATTTTTCGCTGACTCAGAGGGTGCAGCCTGGGTAGGGTTTAGGGCCCGTTACGTTGTCCAGGGGCTATACACTGCCGCCGCGAACCCTTTATGTGCACTTGCCGGGGCACTCTGAACGCTAAGGATCCTAAGAACACTTGCCGGGGCCCTATATACATGTTCACTCTTGAACCGGTCAGCTTGAATCGGTCAGGAACGAACCGGCATACCCGCCGATTCATTCTTGACCGACCAAGATCCCTCCCGGATTCTTCCCATTTGCCCGGGAGGTTCTATACGCTATCGCCGCAGGGAGGGGGACATATGTTACCCTTACGGGACAGTCTCGGATGCCCCCGATGTTGTATGACCAGCCCCTTGGCGAGACCCGGCGCTGACCGACCATGATGGGCTGATGAGCGCCTTGCACCACTGAGCACCGTCTATTGACGCAGATACGCAGAACAGAACACAGAAGGCATTGCATTCTCACTGCATGCATGTGGCTGACAGATATGCTGTTCTTACGTCGATCGCGCAATGTGCTATGCATCTAGGTATGTTCATTTGCGTACACTGCCACTAAAAGTACTGTGTCGGGCAGAAACGGGAAGATTGTCGGCAATTAATATTTCTACATGCCAGTTGTACTCGTTGAGTTCATGACGTGTTCGACACGTCCCAGCATTGTGCGGTGCCCATATCCAACGTCTCAATATCTTCCCACCCATTTCAGATGCCACCATGACCCTCAGCATGTTCATCGGGCTCGTTGTGCTGCTTGTCGTCTTTTATCCGGAACAAACAATTCTCACTTCAAATCCAAGCCCCACACTAGATGACACCGTTATTTTGTCATCCTTTTTCAAGACAATCTCTCCGCAAGATCGGTATACAACCGCTCAGTACAGCTGTGCTAACGTGAGTCCATTTCTACAAGCCCTTCCCACGGAGAAGCTTCTACGACGATATCGCCGAAGTGCATCACCGAGACGTCGTCGCAGACGTCGAAGACATAGGCCCAGACGTCGAAGATATAGGCCCAGACGTAGACGACATAGGCCGAGGCGCCGTAGACACAGGCCCAGGCGCCATCGGCACAGGCCCAGGCGCCAGCGACACAGGCCCAGACTCTATCGACCGAGGCCTAGACGTCATCGACATAGGCCCAGGCGCCCTCGACACAGGCCCAGGCGCCCTCGACACAAGCCCAGACGCCATCGATCGAGGTCCAGACGTCATCGATGCAGGCCCAGGCGCCCTCGACGTAGGCCCAAACGCCCTCGACGGAGGCCCAAACGCCCCCGACGTAGGCCCAACCGCGGTCGACGTAAGCCCAAACGACCTCGACGTAGATCCAAGCGCCCTCGACGTAAACCCAAACACCCTCGACGTAGGCCCAAACGCCCTCGACATAAGCACAGACGTCCTCGACGTAAGCCTAGACGCCCTCGACGTAAGCCCACCCCCCCTCGACGCAAGGGTAGAAAACACAAAGGTCGGAACAGTATACGACGAAATGGGCGCAAGAGCAAAAAACGAAATTCATCCAAGCGTCGGCGAAGACTGAGGCAAAAAAGGGGTCGGAGAAATAGGCTACGACAAACTAATCAAACAAAACAAAATAGAAAAGGTATAACGGGACGGAGACAGAAAAATACGAGGGGCGTACTAGCTAGGGCCGCCCAAAGGATCAAAACATTCTTCGCTGATCTGAAGCGATCCCCTTCCAAAAAGACAGCACAGTCAAAATCCAGCGTTGGCAATAGAACAAAAAACAAACAGAAGGCACCACAGGGCGACAATAAAAAAGGGGCGAAAGGACTACCTAAAACTAGCATTTTAGGCAGAGTTCAGAAATTCTTGAAAAGACTGTTTCGAAATTCTACGGTTCAGAGGGGTGAAAACAAAGACGGACGGAAGAAGGTCAAAAAATATCCCCGGTCTAAATGGCAAAAGAACATCAAGTTTTCCGGCAGGCCAAGATGAAGAGCCGCAAGGAAATGGCGGAGGAAGTCCCATCACCTTCAGCTTCGACTTCGGAGGGAACTCCGGTGGCGATGAGCCATCCCCGGCGGCGCCTGAACCCATCCATCCTCCTGCGGCAGAGCCTGAGCCCTATTACCGTCCTGAAGCAGAACCTGAACCTGATTACCCTCCTGCGGCAGAGCCTGAACCTTATTACACTCCTGAAGCAGGAACAGAACCACAGACATCGGAACCGGATCCAACCGAAGAACCTTCATCTGATGCAGAAGCTGATCCGGCCGGTGCTGTGGAAACGGAACCCGACACTACTGACGCCCAAGAAATAGAATCCGCAGAATCCAAGAATGCAGATGGAGACAAACGGAACAACACTAGCAGCGCAGGACTGACCAGCATTAGAAATTGCTCGACGCAGGATGTTTGCGACAAAAATAAAACCTGTCATAAGGCAAACAGGACACCAGATGGAAACCAGACGATTTTGGCCGAAAATAACATTACTCGGTGTAATGAGACGCGCAAACCACCCGCAGGGCAAACACACGCCCCGCTGACGGCGCGGCGAGATCAGACCACGAAAACATACGGCTCCCGCCAATCAGATCAGGCGGCTATGATACGGTCACTGCAGATATTGATCAACAAATACTTAAAAGAGCTCGGATATGAGCAGTAAGATCGTTGTGGAGCTTACCGCCAGCAAGACATTGCAGCCTCAAAAGAAACCGTTTTGTGTGATGAGCGTCAGGCTGTGACCAACTGCATGCTCTGCTAGTTGTAACTATGCATTTAGCATCTACAGCTAGCTGTACTCGCTGAAGTCCATGACATGTTCGAAACGTTCCAGTATTGTGTATTGTCCATATCCAACGTCTCAATATCTTCTCACCCATTTCAGATGCCATCATGTCCTTCAGCAAGTCCATCTGGCTGGTTGTACTGGTAGCCGTCTTTTATCCGGAACAAGCAATTCTCATTTCAAATCCAAGCTTCACATCAGACAACGCCGTCATTTTGTCATCTCTTTTCAAGACAAATTCTCCGCAAGAGCTGCACCCAACCGCTCAGTACAGCCATGCTAACGTGAATCCATTTCTACAAGCCCTTCCCACGGAGAAGCTTCTACGACGATATCGCCGAAGTGCATCACCGAGACGTCGCCACAGGCGTCGAAGACATAGGCCCAGACGTCGAAGACATAGGCCCAGACGTAGACGACACAGACCCAGGCGCCATCGACATAGGCCCCGGCGCCATCGACACAGGCCCAGGCGCCAGCGACACAGGCCTCGACGTCGACGTAGGCCCAAACGCCCTCGACGTAGACCTAAACGCCCTCGACGTAGGCCCAAACGCCCTCGACGTAGGCCCAGACGTCCTCGACGTAGGCCCAAACGCCCTCGACGTAAACCTAGACGTCCTCGACGTAGGCCCAGACGCCCTCGACGTAGGCCCAGACGCCCTCGACGTAGACCTAAACGCCCTCGACGTAGGCCCAGACGCCCTCGACGTAAGCCTAAGCGCCCTAGACGTAGACCTAAGCACCCTAGACGTAGACCTAAACGCCCTCGACGTAGGCCCAAACGCCCTCGACGTAGGCCCAAACGCCCTCGACGTAGGCCCAGGCGTCCTCGACGTAGGCCCAAACGCCCTAGACGTAGACCTAAACGCCCTCGACGTAGACCTAAACGCCCTCGACGTAGGCCCAAACGCCCTCTACGTAGGCCTAAACGCCCTCGACGAAGGCCCAGACGCCCTCGACGTAAGCCCAAACGCCCTCGCCGTAGGCCCAAACGCCCTCGACGTAGGCCCAAACGCCCTCGACGTAAGCCCATACGCCCTCGACGTAAGCCCAGACGCCCTCGGCGTAGACCCAAACGCCCTCGACGTAGGCCCAAACGCCCTCGACGTAGACCTAAACGCCCTCGACGTAGACCTAAACGCCCTCGACGTAGGCCTAAACACCCTCGACGTAGACCCAAACGCCCTCGACGTAGGCCCAAACGTCCTCGACGTAAGCCTAAGCGCCCTAGACGTAGACCTAAACGCCCTCGACGTAAACCTAAACGCCCTCGACGTAGGCCCAAACGTCCTCGACGTAAGCCCAAACGCCCTCGACGTAAGCCCAAACGCCCTCGACGTAGGCCCAAACGCCCTCGACGTAAGCCTAAGCGCCCTAGACGTAGACCTAAACGCCCCCGACGCAGACCTAAACGCCCTAGACGTAGACCTAAACGCCCTCAACGTAAGCCCAAACGCCCTCAACGTAAGCCCAAACGCCCTCGACGGAAGCCCAAACGCCCTCGACGTAAGAGTACAAAACAGAAAGGTCGGAGCGGTAAACGACGAAATGGGCGCAAGAGCAAAAAACGAAATCCATCCAAGCGTCAGCGAAGACTGAAGCAAAAAAGGGGTCGGAGAAATAGGTCACCACAAACTAATCGAACAAAACAAAATAGAAAGGGCAGAACGAAAGGAAAACCGAAGAAGAAGAAGAGCGTACTAGCTAGGGTTGCTCAAAGGATCAAAAAATTCTTTGCTGGTCTGGGGCGATCCCCTTCCAAAAAGACAGCACAGTCAAAATCCAAGCGTTGGCAACGGAATAAAAAACAAACAGAAGGCGCCACGGGTCGGCAATAAAAAAGAGGCGAAAGGAAAGCCTAAAACTAGCATTTTCGGCAGAGTTAAGAAATTCTTGAAAGGACTGTTTCCAAGTTCTAAGGTTCAGAGGGGTAACAACAAAGGCGACGGAAAAGGGTCCAAACATATTCCAGGTGTAAATGGCAAAAGAGCATCAAGTTTTCCGGCAGGCCAAGATGAAGAGCCGCAAGGAAATGGCGGAGGAAGTCCCATCACCTTCAGCTTCGGCTTCGGAGGGAACTCCGGTGGCGATGACCCATCCCCGGCAGCGCCTGAACCTTATTACCCTCCTGAAGCAGAACCTGAACCTGATTACCCTCCTGAAACAGAACCTGAACCTGATTACCCTCCTGAAGCAGAAACAGAACCACAAACATCGGAACCGGATGCAACCGAAGAACCGACATCTGATGCAGAAGCTGATCCGGCCGATGCTGTGGAAACGGAACCCGACACTACTGACGCGGAAGAAACAGAAGCCGCAGAATCCATAAATGCGGATGGAGACAAACGGAACAAAACTGGCAGCCCAGGACTGACCAGCATTAGAAATTGCTCGACGCATGAAGTCTGCGACAAAAATAAAACCTGTCATAAGGCACAGAGGACACCAGATGGAAACCAGACGACTTCGGCCGAAAATAACAACACTCGGTGTAATGAGGCGCGCAAACCACCCGCAGGGCAAACACACACGCCCCGCTGATGGCGCGGCGAGGATCAGACCACGAAAACAAACGGCTCCCACCAATCGGATCAGGTGGCCACGTTACGCTCACTGCAGATATTGATCAACAAATATTTAAAAGCGCTAGAAGATGAGCGGTGAGGTCGTTGTGGAGCCTACCGCCAGCAAGACATTACAGCCCCGAATGGGACCGTCTTGGTGTGATGAACGTGAGGCTGCGACGGACTGCGCTGGATTGAACTAAATTTGTGTCTGCCTGTTCGGTGGAGTCGAACGTTCACAAAAATACACACAGAATTGACATGTTTAAAGGTTCACCAATTGTGACACTTGGCAGATGTCTGCTGCCTGGAAGCCAAGTGAAATCCGTAAATAAGAGCGGAACATTTGAATTCGGGTCACACGAATATTCGACGGATATTTGGATCCGGTGAATGTTTGAATAGCAAGGTCCGTATGCTGGAAACATTAGACAAGCTACTGAAAAAGCAGAATGTTTTAAAAAATATACTCAAGGTCACTTTTGGGCCCAGTTGGCAGCAAACGTTCGATGCCCCTGTGGCCGAAGGCATGACTTCCGGTATTTGTTGTCATTAACGCCTGGTTTTAGTTTAAGAGAGCGCGAACTGCACCGCGAACTGCGAAGCTGACCGCACTGGTAAGGTGACTCCTGAATGAGAATGGCATACCAGAGCGCAGAAACACTGCAGGGCTACGATCGGATATCCTGCAATGCGGTACACGCCATCACTTTCAGGAGAACAGGCCACAGTTTGGTGTCGTGCACTGAAAAAATGCGTTAGTCTTGGTGCTTTCCGTCGCGTTGTCTTCTGATGTTGTAAAAGTGGTAGATTCAGTGCTGGCCTTCGATAGTGGGCCTTGTTCGTGACTCTACGTCATCGCAATGCGCATCGGCGCAAGCTTCGCGTTGAATGCGCCCAGAAGTGTGGTCCGTTTTTGGATTTCGCGTGCTTTCTTTCCTCTGCTCGGCTTCGATCGGGTTCTGGATACAATCACCTCTGTTTGGCCAAGTGTACAGTGGTTACCGACGGTAATACAATCACAAGTAATTGTGCTTTGCCATGAGGCACGCAGTTTGTGCAGTGCATCAGCCGGATTCTCATCATCATGCACATAAACGCAGCATGTCGTGGGGGTCTGCTTGTTGGATGGAGCACGGTCGGTTGGTCATGCATTACATCGATGAGGCACGCATTCTCTAAGCCTCTAAGCGGCTTGCTAGCGGTTTTGCACAGCTGAGTGTCAAAACCAGGAACGTCACGCGCACTATCAACCAACAACGCTAAAACATAATATATGCTACCGAACAGGTAAACAATATTTCGACGTTCAACTGGTCAGACGTAGTTCATCAACAGGTAACTATCGCACGCACAAACAGGTAACAGTTGTCCAATAAATCAAACGACTTGCAACGAGTACCATTCCCGATGGCGCCACGTAGCTTGAAGTCCCGATTTTTTTCGCAGGGTGTCTAGTTAGTCTATCTGCTCATCACTGCCCACCCATCAGTCACTGTTCACACAACGTTTCTCTGTCACCATACACCATACCCAACAAACGTATGGTAGGATCTCTCCGCAACAAATAACATATCTGCCACCACCCCCCTCCGCCAGCGTTGGCCAGCCTTAAAAGGTTTACGACCGGTTCGTGGGTCTGCCGCCCACTCAACACTGGCCCAGACTGTGCCTCTACACTCGCCACAGACTGTGCTTTTACACTCGCCACATACTGTGCTTTTACACTCGCCACAGACTGCGTTTTCACACTCGCCACAGACTGTCCCTCCACACTCGCCAAAGACAGTGCGACACGCTTGGTAATGCCGTCAAACAAGTCGTGTAGTCTTGGCTAACGGTGCTAATGACGCGCTGAAATTACAGGACCAGGGATACCAGCCGATGCACTCGTGCATTTCTGTCCTCTCAGCGTGGCTTTAAGTCATCCGTGGCTAACGTCACTCGCGGAAACCCCACGTGTTACTCTGACAAATATATAAAACCGTTCACTTCACGCACTGATGACACGTCCGCAGCTCGACCTCCAGTGAACCCGGTAATCACATTAGATGTGAAGTTGTTCGCACGGTATGTTCCTTGCTGTCAACTCGTACAAAAATGACACGTAGGATCTGAATTTAACATCAAACCACCCACTCACATAGGGATATACAATCAAGACTCGATATGTTGATTCGTTTCGTTGGGATATGTCTAGAAAGCGGGGTGGTCAAAAACAACACGTACAGCGATGGTTCGACTAAAGCCATAAAGTAGCTGCGTCGCAATTTAACGAAACATCATGAAAGTGTTTCGTCTTGGCAAGCACATGGGTCCACACATTCTACCGCGGTCCCTCCCTAACTCCAGCCTCTAAGCAGCTAGGCTGACCTGGTTGCAAATCTGAGTCCACCCAAATAAACAACGGCAGGCGTCAGATCGCGGTGTTCACACCTCTCGCCACGCCCGCCTCTCAATCCCTGACACCTGCCGTTCCGCTGCTGTCTGTCGTTGACCTCAGGTCAGGCAGCTGTCCCGCTGCTGGACCAGAGGCAGCGGCGGCGCGGGCGGTGAGCTACCGCTGCGGCTCGGGCGGGGTGCTTCCATGCTGGCAATCGCTTCCACTGCGGGATGGTGCAGCAGATCAGGATTATATAAGGTCATCTCGCGCCGAACTCACTCCCTTAGCGTCTCGACAACGCAATTGAGGGCAGAAAAAAACTTTAAGACGCAGCTACAGTGGCTTGCGTCGGCCCAAAACTTCAGGGCGCAGACACAGGGGCTTGATTTGGCCCTAAGGCTTGCCGAGATCCCTAACCACCGATTCTTCAAGATGAGCCACGGCATGAACGCAACGGTTGGCGCCTCATAGTCGACGCCGATCGACCATGCGGCGCAGCTTTCTGGGCTCGCTGCATCGAGTCCAGGGAGGGCGGAAACAGGCATGCCCATCTGTCAGGGAGACGCCGGCTGTATGTACCTGACCAGGCAGCGTTCGAGGCCTCGACAGGTATTCAGCCAGGCGGGGCGCCAGCTGCCAATACACACAAACGACAGGTATAAAATGCGATGCGGAACCGAAGCGCGACCCAACGAAGGCCAAACACAAAAGGTCTGAAGCTCCAGGACAATTAAAACAGAGCCTGTGCTTTCGACGGAAGTGCTACGTGGAGTGAAAATTGCCAGTTTCACCAAGAAAAACGAGTTCCAGCTGTGTGCTTCAGATTTCAAGGGGTGCATACGGTGCCAACGTGTCATTGCGGTTGACGCAAGACATGCACGTGGGGCAGCTCAATAACGTAATGCAGCGTTGGACGACGACTACACATAAAACAAACCTTGAAAACATTGAAAAAAACACGTAGCATTTAAAACATCTGCCTTTTGACATACAGCCTTTCATGGTTCGGTAGACCCGGCTCTTTGGCCCTGCCATGCGTGCAGGCAAGGTCAGACCTGTACGAGATTCAGGATGCCGAGGCTCACCTGCCACGCGTTTGCTTTGTTCTGTGACCTGGCGAGCCAGGACCTCATTCAGCTGCAGGATGTGAGCCCTCTGCAGTTTATCGGTGGCCGCGCTTACACGTCTGGAACGAGGTTCTGTCGAGCAAAAAATCATATCAGATGACGACCCATGGTTGTCCACACGTCGTGCATTGTGGCGAAAAGGACGAAACGACAGGATTTTGTTTTTCTGGTGCAACATTTGCAATATTCTCGCTGTGTTGCGGCACCGTAAGGGAAATTTGGAACCTAGGAATAGAAAAATGAAGGGGTGAAAGAAACTGCCTACCTGTCTATAATCCTTTAACCCATCACGATCATTGTGTTCATAACGCCAAACAGACGGCTGTGTTAAATAGACCATTTATCCGCAGACCAATCATTGCATTGCTGCTGATAAGTCGCTCCAAATTCTTAAATGCTGGGGATCCCTTTCGGATAAGTTCGTGTGTGTGGTACAGCACTTCGCTTCGGTACTTTTTGACTGAGGACAAAAATGGCTGAACGGAGGCAGAAATATCTTGGCAATTCACGCACAAACAGCTATTCGGACAGAAGCATTTCGACTGCAGTATTGTTACCCTGGAAGCAAACGCTCAGAGTGGCGTCTGGTACGAATAACATTCATGGCGAAATATTATATTCCCGAAAAGGAAGTCACTAGACTTCCCATGGTCTTCCATCGGGAGTCTAGGTCTCCCCATGGTCTTCTTCTGCGATGTCATAATCGAAGCATGGTGATAAAAATGGCCTCAGTTTCTCCCCATCTTCCGCGACACAACAGTATTTAATAAAAGGGCATCCCACACATGGAACGCAATCATTTTCCAGGTCCTTGGTCGCTGCAGAATTTCCGCCCTTGACCAGATGGCCCTCCATCTCTTTACCGGCCCCGCGTGGCATTATATGATATCGTCCACTAAAACCACAATTTGACAAATCGGAATGGGATGTTTGTTCCCAGAACAGAGTAAAACACCTGCCAATTCTTTTTCGCCGTTATTAATTGCCCAGAGGACTAACAGCCCAGATTTTCCGCTCATATGACCACGACCAGCTGCCTGGCGGCCTATTGTGTTTATGTGCGCGCAGAGCCACCATCACGTAGAAATCATTGCTCACCTTCTATCGACATCAATTTATGTTCGCGCCACTTAACAATCTGTCGAACATTGTTTGGTAATCTCCGTAAAAGTTGTGCGCAAAAATGACGTCCTCTTCGGCCGTGCCGTTTTTCCGGCCGGATTTCCCGCTCGGATCCCAACAGCATGTGAGCTGTGCCTCACTCAGTCCGCTGCGTCGACAAGCGACAAAAGGAAGCGATGGTGTCACTTCCAACCACTGAATACTTACCAGCCGAAGCAAATGCTATCCAAAAACCCGGTACTTTGAGTCAGCATTTTCCTGATGGACGCCGCTTTCCGGCTTCTCTGAAGCCGTTCTTCGGCCGTCATCGGCTCCAGCTCCTTTAAAAAAGGCATGTGGAAAGGATGCAGCGTCACACAAGTTTGAGACCGCACACTCGCAAGACGGATTCTTTTTGCCAGCTTGTTCCTAAAATATGAAACATTTCTTGAAGACAGAGAACCTTTATGGCTGGTTTTAATGAAGCTTGCTTCCTTTTTCACTCCATTGCAGCCATTAGTATTCAGATCCACATGTGATTTGGTGGCTGCCGTTATAGATGAACAATCTCATCGAGTGCACCACGTACCACTGCGTAGTGGGCATTGATACGAGTTATTTTTCTGAAAACCATTGACCTTCAATATCCTCGAACGTTCAGGTTAAACAACGCTACAACGCAGACATGAAGCATGCTTTGAGAAGACTTGATGTTTCAAGGCAATGAGTGAAGCTATACACGCATCCACATTTTCTAGGCGGACTGAAGTTTTACGGGCGCGCTCGTCTCTCAGCCGCTCCAGTAACTGTGCCTGTGCAGCGCACGTTTTGTGCTTTCTGTCTGACACGTGCTCAGTACGCAGCCACACCCATAGAGGCCTGACACGCCCGACGGCGCAACGCCCTAAATCCACCGCGACATTACGCGACAGCCAGGCGCGCTTAGCGCCACCTGACCAGCTCTGCGTAGCGTCTCCTCACCAGCTCCGGGACGTAGCGCTCGGGGATGTGTATCTTCTGCGGCCGCGCCAGCAGCCGGTCTATGGTGTCGCCGTCGTAGCTGAGACCCGGCCCGGGCCGAGTCGCCCGCACTATGTCGGACGTGCTAGAGGCGGATCTCAGATTGGTCCGCTCCACGCGGGGCTCCTCCAGCGACGAGCCGTGCTGAGGGAGGGGGGGGGGGGGGGGGGGGGCAACGGCGGCGTGAGTCAAATGGCGTCCAGTGCCATCACGAGAGCATGAGACATCTAAGGCCCTCAAGACCTGGATTATGGATGTGAGGTTAAAGCTTATCTCTACAGTCCCTGGTCGAGCAATGTCCATGCTGTTGCAGATATTTACATCGGTTCCAAAAGAACTTAGACGATTGAACTAATGCTACGTTACCAAAGTATACGTTATTTCACAACCAGATCAACAATTATATCCTTGAAATATCACCTTGAAATACCGACGGAATGTGCTTTGATATCAAAGATGAAACGGTGGAACACGCAATGAAACTGACTGGGCCCTGGCTGAGTCAGCTGACTTCCAGGAAACCGTACTGCCGCACCAAGCCACCTACCCAGGCAACAGTAGCGTCACCTATACCTGCAGTGAAGCGCCACCTACCGAAGCCGCGGCCGTCGGCAGGGGGCGGGCGCCGGTGACGGAGTGGTGGCGGCGGGGCGGGCGACGCTCGGACCGCCGGTACCGCTCCGGCCCCGCCGGGCGCAGCTCGGGGCTCGAGCCGAACAGGCGCTCGTAAGCCGTCGGCCGACCGGCGCCGGCCTGTCGCTGCCGCGGGCGGTGCAGGTCAGAGGGCACGACCCCGGGTCGACGCGGAGCGGGAGGGCGGGCGCTGGCCGTGGCGGTGCGTCAGTGCATCAAAAGCAAGGTCCTGCTGCAGGCAGCGTACTGCGAGTGCCGTGCACGCGTGCACCCGCTGCCACCGGTGCTTTGTTGCGGAGGAGCTCACTGTGCAGCATACTTATATGACGGCATATGTAAAGGTGTAGTCGGCATACTGCTATATTTGCAGCCTCGCGAGCTGGGCTAGTGAAGCAAGCAAGGATATAATAAAGTGCAAGTATAGCTTTAACAGAATCGCATAAAAAGCTGTTGACGTGCAAACTTCACCAACCTTGTCGACGAGCCGCTTCAGCAGTTGGTGCCGTTGCTGGGGAGAGGTTTCAGTCAGGAAGTCCAGCTCACTGCCCGATCTTCTACAGTAGCCCCTCGGGAGAGACGTTGCGCGATACAGATGTGGATCCCTTGCCTCGATTTCCTTGGAGACGTCCTGCGGCCGCTCATCATATGCTGTGTTGTTCTCAGGAGAAATCGGCCCCTCATTATCGGCAGAGCGTGGTGTTCTATCCTTTTGGCGCTGTTGTGATTCTCTTTTAACGGTTCGGACAGTCCTAACCTCCAGTGATGACCTGTCCTTTGAAAGCAGAGCTGTAAAGATAAGAAACGAGTCACCCATGACAGAACAAGTTTGCATATAATAAAAGGAAATCCATGGTCATATGAGAAATCGGATGAAATAAGCCATTCATTCACCACACAGGTCCTCATGACACAAAATACACAGAATACGTCCACATAACGATACAAACAATGGCAAACCACACAGGACAAAAAACCTATCATTGCAACGAATCATTTCCGTTATTAAGAAAACTGACGTCAGTGCACAAAACACGGCCGCCACACGTCACGTTCACGAACCGTAAAGCGGGCCCATCTCCTCCGTGGGCTTGATGACGTCATCTGGTTGCCGGGGCGGCTCGCGACGATCGCCGTTCTCGATGGCCTGCACGATGGCGCCGACGGACTGGTGGCGCCTGCGGCCGGGCGCGGCGCCGTCGCCCTCCGTCCCGCCCCGGTCGCGGTCCGCCGCCGGCCCGCCAGCCGAGCCGCCGGCGTCCGGGCGTTCGTCCGGAGCCGTGTCGACGCCGTCCGCGCGCTGGTGGCGCTCGACCGGAGTGTGGCGGGGCGACTGCGGGTCGGCGTCCGCGGCCGCCGGCGGTCGGAGACTCGTCTGAGCCGTGTCAGATGCCGACGCCTCGGCGGCGTGCTCCTGTGGGGTGGGCTGGTCCTCGGCTGGCCGAGCGCCCGCTGGGTCAGTGGCTGGCTCTTCCGTGGCTTGTTCCCGCGCGACAGACTGGTCCTCAGCTCCCGCTGCCGCCTCTGCCGGCGCGGGTTGGGGCGTTGAGACACCTGGCCCGATTCTCTCAGGCTCAGTGCACACCGGTCTCTGGGATTGTCGGCCGTCGCCGTCCTCCGGCTGGAGTCGAGGCTCGGCAGCGGTCCGCGACTGCGGAGCTTCCCCGCCCAGCCCGGCGGGCGGCTGACCGCCGGCCTCCGCGCCGCCCTCGTGCGATCTCACCCGATCCTGCCGCTGCGGCTCGCCGTGACCTGGGTCGGTGCCCCCGGCGGGGTCGCGCCGGCGTCCGTGGCCGTTAGCCGGAGCCGGCCCGCCGCTCGTCTGGCCGCGCTGGGGGAGCACGGCCTGCCGCGGCGGCGGCGCGGCGCGCCCGGTCGCCGGCGGCCCTCGCCACTCGTCTCGACCAGGCTCACCGGCTGCATGGAGAGGAGCGTGCTGCGTGGCGACGACGTCCGGTCCAAGCTCCGATGCCTGTGTAACGGTGCGATCTGGTTCCCGCGGCCGCAGAGCGCTTCCATTCGGCTCCTTCGGCTGCGTGAAGTTTCGACTCGCATTGTGGTCGCGAGTGAAGCTGTGGCTCCGCCTATGTGGCTGCGTGAAGCTCTGCTCCTGCTGCGTCGCGCGCACCAAGTCCCGGCTCTGCTCCTGCAGTTGCACAAAGTCCCGTCTCATCTCCTGCGACCAGCGCAGGTCGCCGCTCGCTGCACCGCCGTCCTCCTCACCGTCGCCCCGGCCGCCGAGGTCCTGCGAGCTGCGATACTGCCGGAGCGCTGCCTGCAGCCGGCCCTGACACGCGCTGTCAGGCAGCGCTCCAGACGCCCGTCGGTACGCCTCGTAGCTGGCGGCCAGGGCCGAGCGCAGGTCCTGCTGGCTGCCGGCGCGGCGCCGGCTCGCCGCCGCCTGCCCGTGGCCGCTCTCCGCGCCGTCCGGCCGCACCCAGTGCCCGCGGCCGCCGGCAGGCCACTGCGGGTAGCCACCGTGGCGGCCCGGCCAGCGCCACTGGCCGCTCTCGGCCGTCGGCGGCGCCGGCGGCACGTACGGCGGCGGGTCGTAAGGCCGGCAGTACGGCCGGTCGTAAAGCTGGTCGTACGTCGGATCGTAAGCGCCGTTCAGCGGGCCCGAAACGCTCTTGGGCAAGCCGCGGTGTCCGCTCTGCCGGCCAGAGGGCGACAGGACGGGCGTCTGCGGTGGGCCGGTGCTCGCGCCGCTGTCCCTGGAGAGCTGGGCAGCGTTCGGTGGACCGTCACGCTGCGCGCCGCCGGACGGGCAGCGCCGCCCGGTGGCCATGTGTGGAAGCTCGCGGCCAGGCTGCCCGCCGGGCGCAGGCGGTGGAGGAGCCAGGTGACCCGACGAGGCCCGCAGCATGTCCTGGAAGATAGCCAACTGGTAGCAATAGCAGAAGCTGAAGTTAAGCAATGCAGCTATCTATGAACCTCATAAAGTGACAGTTTGTTGAAAACGAATTTCTTAAGACTACAGGTTCGATCAGTGGCTGTCAGTCGGCAGATGATATGAACACTGTACTGCGGAGGAGAGAAAGCACATACACGGGACTAGCTGGTTTATTAAGGTTTAACAGAATGGGCAACAAAACGTTACACAACTGTCGATGGGTCTCAGCTAACCAAAATGCTCCGACATGCCATCGTGACCAGTACGCTGGGGAAAACTCAGCGTGCCCTACCTTTTCACTGCTGTGGGTGATGTCGGGGTGATTTACATGGTAAGCTCGTAGCTCCGCAGAGAGAAAGCATGGTAAAAACTTGAAAGGCAAGCCCAGATTAGCCAACTGGCTGCGGAGCTGATGCTATCTCTATGCGTCAGATGGGAATACGCTGTTGCGTATTGGATTGTGGGACACACACGTACGCAGACTTATTGTGACACAAGCTCCGCAAGCCGAGGCACTGGCGACGCCTTTCCACTGGAACTTTACAACGCAACTATACGCAGACGAAGACATGCTGGGCTGGTGCGGTATCCACAAATCCAATTTGTTAAGCTAGTAAGAAGGAAGCTGTCAGTTTAAATTTGCGGCAGCAGCGTCCTATTAGCGCGTATCACAGCACAACAGCATTAAATCCTTCTGTGCCGGGCACTCGAGCAGCATAGTCCACATCAGACCCCCCGGCACCAGGGCTGACGCTGACCCCCGCCGCCCTCGCCGGTCTGACCCGTTCACCGGCCGACACCAGGGCTGACGCTGACCCCAGCCCCCGCCGCCCTCGCCGACCTGACCCGTCCACCGGCCGACACCAGGGCTGACGCTGACCACAGCCCCCGCCGCCCTCGCCGGCCTGACCCGTCCACCGGCCGACACCAGGGCTGACGCTGACCCCAGCCCCGCCGCCCTCGCCGGCCTGACCCGTCCACCGGCCGACACCAGGGCTGACGCTGACCACAGCCCCCGCCGCCCTCGCCGACCTGACCCGTCCACCGGCCGACACCAGGGCTGACGCTGACCCCAGCCCCCGCCGTCCTCGCCGGCCTGACCCGTCCACCGGCCGGCACCAGGGCTGACGCTGACCCCAGCCCCCGCCGCCCTCGCTGGCCTGACCCGTCCACCGGCCGGCACCAGGGCTGACGCTGACCCCAGCCCCCGCCGCCCTCGCCGGTCTGACCCGTCCACCGGCCGGCACCAGGGCAGACGCTGACCCGGGCCCCCGCCGTCCCCGCCGGTCTGACTCGTCCACCGGTCGGCACCAGGGCTGACGCTGACCCGAGCCCCCGCCGCCCTCGCCGGCCTGAACCGTCCACCGGCCGGCACCAGGGCTGATGCTGACCCGAGCCCCCGCCGCCCTCGCCGGCCTGACCCGTCCACCGGCCGGCACCAGGGCTGACGCTGACCCGAGCCCCCGCCGCCCTCGCCGGCCTGACCCGTCCGTCCCCCGGCGGCGTTACCTGGCCGCGGTCGTCGCCGGCGCCGGGCCCGAGCGAGGCGCGCCGCTGCAGCCTGTGGAGCGGCGCCGGCTCGGTGGTCGACTGGCGCCGCTCCTGGGGGCCGCGCCGGCCCGGCTCCTCTGGAGCGCGGCGGCCCGGGCCGCGCGCCGCCAGCAGGCCCTGCACGCGTCGCACCTCCTGCTCCAGCGACTGGACCTGCGGCCGGCGGGGCGGCGTCACCGGCCGGGCCGAGGCAGTCATGCGGACGCGGCAGGACTGAGCTCCCTCCAGGCGATGCTCCACAGACAGCGACAAGACGCCCAGGCTGTCAGGAGCTGTCTTCCCGCAGTCAAGCCCCATGGGTCGTGGTGTTTAACCGCGCGGGTGGACCTCCTATTGACAAGGCCAGCAAGTCATGCGTACCGGTCTAATTTTGCTGACTCCTGCGTGAACAATCGACCTCACCAGACACGTGTCGCTGTGTACACACGCATGCGTCCATCTCAAAAGTGGAGATCCAGGGTCATCCGGTAGGACGGGATGATCCCCGTCGGCTCACTGCACACCATGTCCATGTGGGAGTGCATCCCGGGAAGTCTGGACCATCTCTGGGCCCCACAAGTTTCGTATTATGTGTTAAGTTATTGGTTTTGCATACTGCATATTCTGAGATCAAGAGGAGTCCGAGCCCCTTGCTCGAAGGGGAAGTCTCTAACCCCGACGCACCTCTTGATTATAGTGAGGCTCAGAGTTGTTGGCAGCTCTCAACGCGTTCTGAAGACGCTGACGCAGGGACAGCATCTCCCTTTCCAGGCGCCCGTTGTCAGCAGCCGTCTCGTTGAGGTTCTGAAACGAGAAACACCGACGGTGCTATCGGGGCACATTTACCTCGACTTGTCATTGAGGCTTCAAGACGTAACCAGCTGCGAGGGCGTTAAGATGTCGCTCGCCTCTCGCCCTGGCAGGGTGGGAATCGCGAGATAATCACACCTCGTACCTCTGATCCCCTCAGACGCGCAGCTTGACTACAGCACTACCCGTACCCAGTGCGCTTTAACTTGTACGCTTACAGCATGTTATTGTTCAGCTGAATTTAACCTGTATTTGTTTGTGAGAGTGAATACGTTTTGTTTTGGATAATGATAGAAGCACGATTGTGCAAATACAAGCGGCCCAAAGCCAACAATGGCCTGATCTTACGAAGCTCTATTCATCTCGTTCTTATCTTACCCATCTGATTGCAACCAAAGGCGTGGTTTGAACTCCCGCGCATTCGGTCGAGCGCACCTCCGCCCATCACTCTGCATTCCGAACAAAGCCTCTCTCCGGGGTCGTGGGGGTCGTTCTGTGACCTTACGCAGGCCGCTTCTGAGTCGTCGCCGTGTCAGGGAACGGTGCGGCACCCCGGGTGGCACACTCGCCCGTTCCTGCCACGCCGCCGACTCCGGGGGCAACTAATCCGAACGGGGCGTGTCCTGATAACGGTGCGATGGGGCTCCGACACGCCACAGGGTCTTTGATCGTCCAGGGAGCCTCCCAGCCACGCAAGAGTCGCGGAGAAACTGGCACTTTGAGCCTTAGCTGCCGTTTAACAGGGAGAAGCTCTGCCTCGAGCGACGCGTGGAGAACGCATGCAGTTCGGGTGTATACCAGAACCAGTTGCCCCTGTTCGAGCGAGGCATGAGCAAATCCAGCTTGCGTCGCCGAGCCCGCTGCGAATATTTCGCTCGAAGGTTGTAAAAATGTTGTTTACAAGAAACCTGGCAAGCGCACGGCAACCGCGAAAACATAAGATTGCATGTCTGTGAACAAAA